GTCTCACTTTTGCTCAGGCTAGTGTCAAACTCAAGCAGTCCACCCACCTTAGCCTCCAGAGTGCTAGGATTATAGGCATGAGCCACTGCACCCGACCAACAAAGATAGTTTCTGAAATATTTTATGTCTTTTATCCCTTACTACCTAATGCCAAATGTGATTAATTTTTTACCATGCACTGAGCTCCTATGAATTCACTCATTTAATTTTTTTCCTAGTAGTTAATTTAGCAAATGTTCATTGAATGCTTACTCTGTATCAAGTACTGTTCTAGGTGCCAGATTTAAAGACTTGCCGTTATAGAGGTTACATTCTGGTTGGAGAAGATAAACAATAGCAAACAGATAAACACGTAATATACCAGACAATAGAGGAAACTGTGGCTGAATATAGGGAATGAAAGTTGGGGCTGTTGACAAAGGCTGATGAGAGAAGATCTCACTGATATCATGACACGTAAATAGAGGCCTGAAGGAAGTGAAGAAAGAAACCCTGGTATCACACTATTCTAAAGCAACAGAGGAAAACAGGATAGAAAGCTAGACCACCTTTGAGATAATGTCCTCTTTCAACCTATTTTGATTTCTAATGTTTACCATAAGCAGTTTCAGAATTGTACCAACAGTGAGAAATTATAAAATGTTATCTCAACTTAAAGATATTAATTTTTTTTATATTATTGTGTCTACATGCACAGTTTGAACATTTACAAGTTCATCACTGAGCAGTTGATCTAATCCAGTGACAATTTTTGTTATTCACAGTAGGTAAGCCCTATAAAGTCACCCCAAACGCTGAATTAGTGAATACTAAATCACTGCTCTTGATGGGAATACAATGTTAGGTTTCTGCCAATCTCTTGTCATAACATTTTTGTCAACCAACTAATTAACATGTAAGCTATTTTGTATGTTTCTACTTAGAGACACCTTATTTAATATATATTGTTGATTCATTAACATTAAAGTCACACCTGACAGAACTGTAACTTGTGTCTGAACAAAGCTTATCTAACACACACATTTCTGCACAAGACACATCAAAGCCTTCTGTGCTTAGGAACACTATAAACAGCACTTCAGCACTGTGCTTTGGGACCACTTTAAACAGCAAAATCATGGAGAAAAAGTACAAAAATGCAAAAAATAAAATGTGGCAATAAATAGACCTCAAAAGGATATGTGTTTACACTGTGAAAGCTGAAATAAGACAGCCAGAACTTCACCTCATTCAACTTTAGCTAAGAATTTGCCCATTTGGGCAAGTCACATTTTTTGCCACTGGGTGCATATTCATGAATGACTGCAATATATGGCAACTGTTTTGCCCGGGGGGCAGGGAGGGAGAGGGGGAGGATTGCAAATACATTTTAGTGAACAGGAAAATTCACAAATCATGGAATCTGTGAGTAAAGAGGATCAATTTGTTTTAATAGCTGATATTTGACTAGAGCTGTTTTATTTCAGGCACTGAGACTGGATTGAATTATGTTTTCAGCAATTGATCTATTAGGTTTAAAGTTGGCTCCTATGAAAATTTAAAACTTATACCCATCTAATTCATTGTTCTTTATTCAGACTAGACCAATGAGTGGTTAAGGAAGAGAGCTGCCTAAATGGCATGATTTGACCAGGAAACACCTCTATCCAAGTGTATCACCACAACTCCTCCTTACCTCTTCCTCACTGCTCTAAATGAATGTTTGGTCCTGTAGACAGAACTGACTGAACACAGTAAAAAATAAAGCTCTAGAAGTCATAGATCTAGAATGCATCTTTTTGTTAAAACATCATTGCTGGTATAAAAGTTGTGAATTCTATTCTACATATTCTAGTGTACAAGAAATATTGTTTTTCAAAAAATGTTGTATAACCAACTTAAGCCCAACCCAAAGGGGATAGTGTCTTAGCTGGTTGGGGCTGCCATAACAAAAATACCGTGGCCTTGGTGGCTTAAACAACAGACAGTTATTTTCTCACAGTCTTGGAGGCAGGAGGTGTGATCTCAGTATGCCAAGCATGGTCAGGTTATACTAAAAGCCCTCTCCCTGCAGCCAGCTCTCGCTGAGTGCTCACATGGCTGTTTCTCAGTGCATGTGCATGAAGAGAGAGAGAGTTAGCTCTCTAGTGCCTCTTCTAGGGACACTCATCCTATTGGATCAGAGCCTCACCCTTATGAGCTCATTTAATCTTAATTATTTCCTTTATGGTTATATCTCTCAATAATCACATTTGGAGTTAGAGCATCAGTATATGAAATTGGGGTGTGGGCACACAAACATTTGGTCTATAACAGCTGGTGTCTCTATTCACTCTCAGCTTTGCCAAAGATTCCAAGCCCATCTTATACCTGGGCAAGTGGCAGCTATAGAAAAAAAGTTCCAAGCCCTGTGAATAACCAGGAAGCAGATGTACTCCCAGAGATCATACAGGCAGAACCCATAGATTATCCAATGACCCAGGGCTTTGGTACTAGGTAAGATCCTGGAACTTGGAATGCCTGAGCCAGAGTACCCTATAGCAAACACATAGAATCCTGATCTTCTGAGACTCACCAACCCCTGTCTTTTCTAGTATGGGGGGATTTCCTCTAATCTCTCTTCTTTCCCTCAAAAGCATTCTGTTTTCTCTCCCCTCCTTCTGGGACATTTTAGAATAATTCTTTGAAGACATTAGAAGGCTTTTCTAAGAGACAGGAAAAAACAGACAACTTGAAGAAGTTTCTGCATGCCTGCCAGAATTCCTAAGATAGGGTTTTAAAAAGGCCCAATTATCTGTTGAAAGTTAAGAGAAGGGAGTACAGTGCTCATTAAATACCACAATCAGTCACTCTTGCCATACTAACCTGCATCTCAAGGGAAAATTTTATTGTTAATCATTATCTCCAGTTCAATAGCTTTAATAGAAGATCTTAATGTTTTTATACTGAAAAGATAGTGGCGACTGCTTACTAAACGTTTAAATATTAAGATCACAGGATAGTTATCAGTGGAGCTAATACTAGCATTCACATACTTGGCTCTGAGTTCTGTGTGTTTTCTGTTGAAATGTTCAAAAGCAAGCTGCATAATTCCCCAAAGAAACCCAAATTTTAAGTTAATTTTCACTTCCATAATGTTAACAGATAACCATGAAGTAATTTTTTTCTGTCTATCAAAAAAGGTACAGTTTATGGTGGTGCTTTTAAGAAGATGAAATGCCAAGCTGTATTAAAAGACAGAGTGATTCTGAAATTAGTATTTATTCATTATTAGAAAAAGAAAATTCAAAACTATGTCAAATTCAGATCATTTGTTTAACTTTTTATGGGGATATTTGAGTACTTGGTTTCGCTTTCCTATTTTATCAAAGCATTTTTGGGACTTGTGGGTAGGCTTTCTTTTCTTTTTTGTGAAGGGGAGGGACTTAATCATATATAAACAACATTTCTTTTAAGTGAGTTGGGAATATGATTTCATCCTAACTTGGCCATTGTACAGCTTGCCTCCATATGAATTATATATTGTTTGAAACCATGGTTAGGTTCCAGACATCTGTATGTAAGCAACCCTAGAACTTACTCTGTTCTTGGTTAAATTTTATTGATCTAAATTCATATTTGAATCCAGTTACTTTATCACCATGCCTTTCAACTAGCTTAGCATATTACCTAGTAATTTTACAATATGGAGTATTTCAGGTAGTTATCAATTATCATTTGCATTATGGAGTTGAATCAGGTGGAGACAATGGAGCTTAGATATGCTCAACCAGCAAACCAATGGTTGACTTGAGCAATGGCATGAAAATGATCATTACACTTATTTTTATACCATTACATTATTACTTACTCTAAGAAGCTCTAAGAAAAATTATTATTAATTTTGAATTATTTAGACATTTTTAGAAAGTCAAGGAATTGAATTAAATCCACCAGAGAAGATGGCTCTGGATCCTTACACTGAACTCCGAAAAAAGCCTGTTCGTAATTACGTCACCCCATCGGACTTTGATCAGCTCAAGCAGTTTCTCACCTTTGATAAACAAGTAAGTGACCTAAGCACCTCAGTAGGCTTATTAGTTTCCAGATATGGCAGGAATTTCTTAGCAAGCTGTTTGGGCAGCTGTATTGGAAACTACTTTGAAACATTATTTCTGTAAGTTAACTGTTTGAGTACAGTGCTTTCTGTTTTCATCTAGAGTTAGAAATGTGGGAATCCCTAAGTTTCACATTAGAGATCCAGAGAAGATTGTGGCGTTAAGTCTTGTGAATTCCACCAGACACTTAAATCTTAACCTATTCCTGAGCTACATCTGCTTCCCACTTTACGTTTCCATCTGACCATGTCTTTCCCTAAGTATGAGTTAATCTCATAGGATCCTTAGGGAAACCTTAAATGAATTATTGGGAAATTTCAAAGCTATTGCATATGTGTAGGTTTCTAATATTAAAATAGTTAATTTAACAGAAATTCCATTGCAGATGTTTCCCAGTTAAATGTTATATTACTTTGGAGTACAGAAGGCTCTCAGCATTTTCCAGTTCTGTTCCAACCATTCTAATCCTGTCCCTTGTGAGCTGATATGTATAAGCTGATTTGAATCTTCTCCTTTTTATATTAAAAGGAGAGACCCACAATGCTTTTTTGCTGCTTTTTTTCAGAAATTGAACTTATTTTAGCTCAGAAAATTTAACCTAACATTAGTATGGTCTTTTATGGATTTTCTGTGTATCAATCATATATCTGTTATTATTTTATATTTAAAGATTGTGTTGATACTATCATTAAATGATGTGTATTGATGGGAATAAGAAAAGTCTGGTTAATAAATGGAAATATTTTCCGTATAGATTGTATGTAAACCGTATTCACACGTACCTTCTTTAATACGTATGTATAAACCGCTGTTAAGGACCTTATTGCTCTGTTGATTTTACTTCTCTTTCCCTGACTAATATTTTAGATCAAAGTGAGCTGTTCTTTCTTGGCACAAACTTACAATCCTATTATTTAATTCTTTCCAGCTGCTGACATCTGGTATATAATTTCAGACATTTTTTCTTTTTTTTTAGAGACAGAGTCTCACTTTGTCACCCTTGGTAGAGTGCCATGGTGTCATTGCTCACAGCAACTTCTTGGGCTTAGGTGATTCTCTTGCCTCAGCCTCCCGAGTAGCTGGGATTACAGGCGCCCGCCACAATGCCCAGCTATTTTTTTAGTTGTACTTTGGCCGGGGCTGGGTTTGAACCTACCACCCTCAGTATGTGGGGCCTACTCACTGAGCCACAGGTGCTGTCTGAATATTTCTTTTTTTCCATTTACCATCTGAGATGTCATGGTCTTTCCAGCTAATCTGTCCATCACTGTCTGATATGTAAATACCGAAGTAGCTAAGTTAAACTGTCCACTTTTAGGATTCTTACTTGAGTCACTACTTTGGATTCCTCAAAGGTTCTTCGATTCTATGCAATCTGGGATGACACCGACAGCATGTTTGGTGAATGTCGGACCTACATCATTCATTACTATCTTACGGATGATACGGTGGAAATTCGAGAGGTCCATGAACGGAATGATGGGCGAGATCCTTTCCCACTCCTGGTGAACCGCCAGCGTATGCCTAAAGTTTTAGCGGAGACTGCAAGTATGTTTGATTCAGTTTATCCTTTGCCACTTGGTACATATTTAGGATTTTTAAAGGAATTACTTAATCAGTGTGGATATTCCTTTATGCTTAAAAGGCTTTAGCTGTGTTTTCTTAGGTGCTCAGAAAATGGCTTTCCCACAACTTCCCTCCTTTACATTCCTCTTGGTATCACTGTGCTTCTGAGACAGTCTGGTAGAGGTAACTGATACCTAGCTCAAGGAAACAAAATGAAAACAGAAGAGGGAGATTCATTTAAAGTGCCATAGAGCAAGACTTCTGAATTGGAGCCCTTTAATATTAGATTATTAATACATTTTTTTCAAACAGCCCTGTTGTCATTCAAGAATATAGCTTAGCATTACCTTACATGCTTTCCTGACTTTATGTCTAAACAGGATGTTTCCATGTGGGTTGAGTTGAAACTGGAAAAGGAATGTCTGTGACTCATAGAGGTGGAGTTCATTGTGTCAACCCCAGCTCTTTCTTTGCTGGTTTAAAATAACCTGGCATGTTGGAGAGTGAGAATGCAGCAAAATAGCAGTGGATAGCTGTTGTTTACTGAGTCCTGAGATAACTAGGCTTTCTTTTGTTACTGACTTAACACTTAAAGAATTTTCTCTTACACAAATGTCCTCTTGGTCACATGTAATGACATCTGTAATGTTAGGGTGGCTAACAGAATTCTGAAAATATTTTCACCGATTTTTTTTCTTTTCACTGTATTTTTGAGAACTAGGAAATAAGAAATTTCCAGGTAATGAGTAAGTGGTTTGTCTAGATCAGAGGTTATAAACAAATTGATAGTCTAAGGCTAAATTCAGCCTACCCATATGTACTACTTGGCCTGCAGAGTGTATTTTTTTAAAACACAGTGTTATTTTTTAAAAGGTAAGGAGTTGGAAGTTTTCGTCATTGGGAGACTGGTAAACAAAATGTGGGGAACATACATTTTTTTATTAATATGCAGTAGTTAGAAGCAATAAACAAGATATACCCAGGAAACAAATGCATGCATCTTAAAAATATAGTACTATGTAGAAAAAAGATAAAATGAGATACATAATACAAGAGCATTCATATAATGTGAAATACATGCAAAACATAGTACATAGTCAAAAAGCTGCACACTAGAATGGTTGCATGTGAGGAGAAGGAGATTGGGGGGAAAAGGATAAGAGGGACTAAAAATGGTCATTTTAAAATTAGGAGAGTTCACCCTAAGTATCTCTTTCTTTGAAAATTGAGACTAACTGCTAACACAGCTTATATTCTCAAATGGCAACAACTGGATCTGTGCCCTGGTTCAGCAGAGTGCAGCTACTGCCTACCAAGCATATTATACTTAGCCTCCAATAGAACCGTCTTTGAGTTCAGTGATACTGAAACTAATATACTGGCTCGGCGCCTATAGCTCAACAGGCTAAGGCACCAGCCACGTACACCTAAGGTGGCGGGTTCAAATCCCCAGCCCAGACCCGCCAAACAACAATGATGGCTGCAACCAAAAAATAGCCGGGCATTGTGGCGGGCGCCTGTGGTCCCAGCTACTTGGGAGGCGGAGGCAGGAGACTCGCTTGAGCCCAGGAGTTGAAGGTTGCTGTGAGCTGTAATGCCAGGGCATTCTGCCCAGGGGGACAGCTTGAGGCTCTGTCTCAAAAAAAAAAAAAAAAAAGAAACTAATATACGAATTTTGGCCTTCCAGACTGCTTAAATGAGCCAGAAATTACTCCCATCTGGAGCTAACAAACGTTGGATTTACAGTAGTCAAAAAGAAAGAATAGGAATATATTCCAGGTGGCATGGAAAAAAAAAGCCATACTGAAACTGAATCCCTTGAAATTTGGGGTTCTAGGTATGTCTCTGTCTTATCAATGTGATCTCTGTTTAACACTTTCAATATATAATCATCTTCTATAAGTTCTTTTGCTATAACTTTACATGTTTTTTTAATTAAAAAATTTTTATCAAAGTTATATGGGGAGGCAGCCTAGAGACATATAAGGGGTCCTTTTTAGAGGGAGGAAACATATCTTTTTTTGAAAATCATTGTTACTTATGAGGTAACAGTACAGAAAAGGCTGAGCTCCCACAATTTAAATAATACCTTTAACTAGAATGGTGGTTTTAAAGGTATGTCATGCAGCTGACTTTGAAAGACATTTATCTAATGGGCAATTTTTATTAAATTTAGTTAAATATCTGCTATGGGAAGCATTTCATGTGCTAAGTGCTATAGAGAATAAAATGAAAATGTAACTCCCAGCTCAGAATCCTGTCCTTGAGGCGTTTCTAGTGTTCCCAGGGAGACAAGTCATATAAAATACACAAAGCTGTAAAATAATGACATTGAGTATATCTGATTATGTATTAGTTTTGTCACACAGATGGAGGTCACTGAACACAGATTTGGGCCTAAAAAACTAAAGAAGTCTTTGTGGAAGTGCTGGGATTATAGCCAGATTTAGAATGTTGGACAACAAAGGGAAAGAACACACAGAGAAGAACAGAGCAAAGGTTGGGAATTAGGAACAATTATGGCATGTTTAGGGGCATCTAAGAGATGATGGCTAGGCAAAGAGTTTGTGCTGGACAGTAATAAGGAAATTATGGGGGTATCTCTTAAAAGTTCTCTCTGATAGGGCCTTCTTTTAATAGTCAAGATTAGTCAGAAATACACACACACACACACACACACACACACATATAGATCTAGAATTCTGAAAGTTTTTTTTTTTTTTTGAGTGTAATTACAAGTGACCAGGAGGTGATGTCAAAATAGGTATTTATTCTACCAAAAGCCTGCTACTCAGCTCTTAAACCTAAGGCATGAGGTTCTGAAAGTCTAAATATATTAGCTATCCTTTAAACTGGCTTTCCTAGACAGTGTCTTACTCTCATTACCTAGTTTGGAGTGCAGTAGCACAATCAACTCCTGGGTTCAAACAATTCTCCCATCACAGTCTCCTGAGTAGTTAGGACTATAGACATATGCCACCATTCCCTGCTAATGTTTTAATCTTTTGTAGAGACAGGATCTCACCATGTGTCACAGACTAGTCTTAAACTCCTGGAGTCAAGTAATCCTCCCACCTTGGCCTCCCACAGTACTGAGCCTACAAGTATGAGCCACCACACTCAACCTGATCTTGCATTTCAAATGAATCTAGAACACCTCTTAGTTAGATTTTTTTGTGCTCTAGAAAGTTGAATGTTTTTCCTAATTGAGCATTTTTATTGCCTCGTTCAAATATTATATTAATTGAACATTCATTTAGGAAGAAAGAACCATGCTAGTCAATGGAAATCTAAAACTAGTATAAGCCCATATTTCATAAGGCTTTACAATCTGGTAAGATAGACATATACATCAATAGAACAGAACAAATTGTCTAGAAATGGACTCACACATATATACATATAGTCATTTGATTTTTAATAAAGATGAAAAGATGATCTGATAAAGGATAGTCATTTTAACAAATAGTTCTAGAAGAATTGGATAGCACATGTAAAAAATAAATAAGTAAACCTCAACCCTTACCTCACCATATGCAAATGTTACCTCAACATGGATCATAGACCTAAAGGTAAGAAGTAAAAACCATTAAAATTCTAAAAGGAAACATAAGTTTTAGTGACCTTGGGTTTGGCAGATATTTCTTAAATTAAAGGTGACACAAAAAGTACAAACTATAAAAGAAAAACCCAGAATTTAAAACTTTTGCTTTTAAAAGACACTATTATGAAAATGAAAAGAGAAGCTAAAGATTGTGAGAAAATATTTGTGAAATATATTTGACAAAGCAATTTTCATAGGATATATAAAGTGGGTTTTAAAACTCAGTAACAAAAATGACAGGATCAAATGTTCACATACCAATATCTTTGAATGTAAATGGATCAGACTTTCTGCTTAAAAGATATATACTAGATAAATGGGTTTTAAAAATGAGCCAACTACATATTGCCTACAAGAAACTCATCTCGGCTTAATGCCTATGGCTCAAGCGGCTAAGGTGCCAGCCACATACACCTAAGGCGGCGGGTTCAAATCCAGCCAGGGCCCGCCAAAAACAACAATGACAGCTGCAACCAAAAAAATAGACAGGCGTTGTGGCGGGCACCTGTGGTCCCAACTACTTGGAAGGCTGGGGCAGGAGACTCGCTTGAGCCCAGGAGTTGGAGGTTGCTGTGAGCTGTGATGCCACGGCACTCTACCCAGGGGGAGAGCTTGAGGCTCTGTCTCAAAAAAAAAAAAAAAAGAAAGAAACTCATCTCACCTATACAGACATACATAGACGGAAAGTACAGGGATGGAAAAAGATATTTCATGCAGATTGAAACCCAAATAAGTCATACTTATATAAAGTAGACTTTAAGGGCAGTGCCTGTGGTTCAAGGAGTAGGGCACTGGCCCCATATACTGGAGGTGGCGGGTTCAAACCTGGCCCCGGCCAAAAAACTGCAAAAAGAAAACAACTAGACTTTAAGTCAAAAACAGTAAAAAAGGGACAAAGAAGGTCACTATATGATAATAAAAGGATCAGTTCAGCAAGAGGATATAACAATTCTAAACATATGTGCACCCAACACCAGAGTGGCCAGATATAGAAAGCAAATATTATTAGATCTAAGTGGAGAGACAGACTCTAATACAATAATAGTTAGGGATTTCAATACCCACTGTCAGTATTAGATGGATTATCTAGACAGAAAATTAAAAAGAAACATTGGACTTACATTGCACTTAGATAGACCAAATAGATATTTACAGAACATTTCATCCAGCAGCTACAGGATACATTCTTCTCATCAGCACATGAAACATTCTCCAGGATAGACCATATATTGGACATAAAACAAATGTTCACAAACTTTAAAAGTCAAACTTGTATGAACCATCTTCTCAGATCACATTGGAATCAAACTAGAAATCAGTAACAATAGAAATTTTAGAAACTGTAGAAATAAATGGAAATTATACAACATGCTCCTAAATGATCACTGGATCAAGAAAGAAATTGAGGAATATATAACAAAAAGTTTTTATTTACTTTTTAAATAAATAAAAATCAAAATACAACATACCAAAACCTAGGTGATATAGTCAAGGCAGTGCTAAGAGGAAAGTTTATAGCAATAAATGCCTATATCAAAAAAGTAGAAAGATTTCAAATAAACAATCTAATGACGCTCCTCAAAGAACTAGAAAAGCAGGAACAAACCAAACTCAAAATTAGTAGAAGGAAAGAAATAATAAAGATCAGAGGAGAACCAAATGAAATGGAAGCTAAAATTAAAAAAAGAAACAAAGGATCAATAAAACAAAAAGTTGGTGTTTTATAAAAAAAAAATCAATAAACCACTAGCTAGATAAGAAAAAAGAGAGAAGACCCAAATAAACTCAGAAACAAAAAAGAAGACATTATTACTAATACCAGAGAAATATGAAAGATCATCAGAGACTATTATGACAATTATATACTGACAAACAAAAAAAACTACAGGAATATTTCAAGATGCTAGGGATACTTCTCAAAAACTTCTAAAAAACTAAAACCTAAAGAAATTAAAAGGAAGGAAAGAGTAAAACAAGAGCCTGAACATAACATAAAGTTGAAAACAAAGTTAGCAGAGAAAACTTATGAAGCCAAAAGTTGTTTCTTAGAAACAACTAATAAAATGTCAGCTCTGGACAAAATTTATGAATTGGTGAAAGAAGATGCATATATAATACATGATATTAAAAATGAAAGAAGAGGCAAGGCATGGTGGCTCATGCCCGTAATCCTAGCACTCTAGGAGGCCAAGTTAGGTGCATTGCTTGAGCTCAGGAGTTGGAGACCAGCCTGAGCAAGAACAAGACTACATCTTTACTAAAAAGAGAAAAGGTAGCTGGTGCCTATAGTCCTGGCTACGTGGGAAGCCGAGGCAAGAGGATTGCTCAAGCCCAGAAGTTTAAGGTTGCTGTGAGCTGTGATACCATGACACTGTACCCAGGGCCAAAAAACAAAAAAAAAGAACAAAATAAGAGGCATTCTTAACGATATGATAGGGATTAAACATAAAATAAAAGAGTAATACCAGCAACTTTCTGCCAATAAATTTGAAAACTTAGGTAAAATGAGCACATTTTTAGAAAAATATAACTTATTCAAGAAGAAATAGAAAGCCAGATGTCTTCAACCATTAAAGAAGTAGACTCAATTTTAACATTTTCCGCAAAGAAAACATGAGGTGTATATAATTCTACAAAGGATTTTTGTCAAACATTTTTAAAGAGCAGATAATCCCAAGCCTAACAAAAGCTCATTTAGAAACAAAGAACTTCTTACTACATCCATTTAAAAAGCCAATGAAACCAAGAGCACCATGAAAAAGAAAAACTACAGATAGCCTCACTTAGGAAGGTATATGCAATAATCTTAAACATACATCAGTAAACCACATTCAGCAGTATATGAAAAAGATAATTTATTGGGCAAACAAAGGTAAACTGCTGGCAGGCACAAACATATACCAGATTTCCTGGAATATGGTATACTGAGGGAAACTCAAGTAGTCATGAGCTAGATACGCTGTTGCCCATTACTTCCTACAGCAGCTCAAAGTCATCTAGTAGGATTAAATGCTAGACATTAGGAGAAGCGTTCCTTGGATTGTAGAGCTTTAAAGATGCATGATTCGGGAAATACCAGCCCCTCTTTTGGCATAATCAAGGGCTGGAATTCAAGCCTTTATGCCTGATATAGCATAAATTTAGCCTTCTTCCAGAAACTAACTGGCCTTATTTTTCAATCTTAATAATAACCAGTTAGGAGAATAACAGCCTACTTCTTATTTCTCATGTGATAGTGGTTCTGTGTCAAAGCTTTGTGGTTACAGCTGTAAGATGTGGCATTCTACCAGAACTGAGTGATTGTTATGATTTCCATGGAGGCCAGGCTTCAGGGAATCAATCTTAAACAAGTTAACCTTTAGTTTTCATGAAACAGTACAATAAAATTAGATTTATTCCAAAAATATGAGATTGATTCTACATTTAAAAATGGTTGATTTCTGCCCATAAATGTATTTACAACACAATTCACAATCACAAAGATGTAGAATCAACCTAAGTGCCCATCAATTCATGAATGAATTAGCAAAATGTGGTATGTACAATATATATGTGGAGTATGACTTAGTCATAAAAAGGAACAAAATAATATCTTTTGCAGCAACTTAGATGGAATTAGAGACCATTTTCCTAAGTGAACTATCTCAAAAATGGAAAATCAAATACCACATATACTCTCTAATAATTGGGAGCCAATCCAAGGGCACACCCAGGCACCAAGAGATGTAAAGATCATAGGAAATCAAGAAATGGGGAGAAAGGAGTAAAAACCTACCTGTCAGATACAAAGAACACTATTTGGGTGATGAACATACTAAAAGCTTGGACTTAAGCATTATGAAAGGTATCCATGTAACAAAAACATTTTTTAAATATTTAAAATTTCTTTCTTTCTTTCTTTATTTTTGAGACAGAGCCTCAAGCTGTCCCCCTGGGTAGAATGCCATGGCATCACAGCTCACAGCAACCTCCAACTCCTGGGCTCAAGCAAGTCTCTTGCCTGAGCCTCCCAAGTAGCTGGGACCACAGGCGTCCGCCCCAATGCCTGGCTATTTTTTGGTTGTAGCCGTCATTGTTACTTGGCAGGCCCGAGCTGGATTCAAACCCTCTACCTTAGGTGTATGTGGCTGGTGCCTTAGCCACTTGAGCCACAGGTGCCAAGCCAATTTTAAAATTTAAAAACATGATTAATTCTCACATAAATGGATTACTATAATAATAATCTTGCTGGTTCTCCCTGGTCACCACCTCCAGAACTAGGTCACGCTGTTTTAATACCAATGATTGCAACTATTCTTTGTATAATTGTTTAGTGTCTGTCTCTCTAAGCAGAATATTTCCTTCATGAAGGCAGGAATTTAAAATATATATGAATATATATGGTTTTTTCAAGTATATATATATGTATATATATATCTTTTCATTTAGAGATAAGGGTTTGCTCTGTCACCCCAGGCAGAGTGCAGTGGCATCATCATATCTTGCTCCAACCTCAAACTCCTAGGTTCAAGCCATCTTCCTGCCTCACTCTCCCAATTAGCTGAGACTATAGGTGCCTGCCACCATGCCTAGCTAATTTTTCTATTTTTTGTAGAGATAGAGTATTTCTCTTGCTCAGGCTGATCTCAAACTCCTGACTTTAAGCAACCTTCCTGTCTCAACTTACGAGAGTGCTAGGATTACAGGCATGAGCCACCACACCCAGCCTGTATCTATATTTTTAATTGTTGTATTCCCAATATTTATCAGTATACCTAGTATGATATAGGAAGTCACTAAAAACTTGTTGAATGAATGGATAAATGGGTAGCAAATTGAACTAAATAACTTGGATTTCTCCTAGAGCTAAGTAACTATCTTTATAGAAGGGAACTTATTCCTTCCTCCATAATGATTTCTTCTAAGCATCAATTCTGTTAATGATTTGTAGTGATAGTTTGAGCTGAATATGGGAAAGAGACTCTACAAAAGCCATTTGGGATAATGTTTATTTGTCCTGCCAACAAATAGAAATATATAGCCCTATATTCTAGAGGGACTGCAGAGAAGTCCCTGATCCTTGACCAGAGCAAAAGACTCCTACAGGATCTCAGGAATGCCTGGCTGTTATATATCATTCTTTCTTTCCATGTTCATTCCTCCTTTTTTTCTCTCTAATACTATCTTATATTAGAGAACTTCCCTCGGTGTGTGCTGGAAATCTCTGATCAAGAGGTGTTGGAATGGTACACTGCCAAAGACTTCATTGTTGGGAAACCACTTACTATCCTTGGGAGAACTTTCTTCATTTATGATTGTGACCCATTTACTCGGCAGTATTACAAAGAGAAGTTTGGAATCTCTGATTTGCCACCTGTCAATGTGAGCAAGCAGGAACCACCTCCTATAAAACAGGTAATTGGATAGCAGTTCTTAATGTGGTGACAAAATAAGTTATTTGAGGTAGAAATTTAAGAAAAAGAAAAAAGGACTTCTTTGTGAATAATGAATACCCAATAAAAAGTGGGCAAAGTACATGTAATAGAGTAGTTCACAAAAGAAGAAATATAAATGGCTGAAAAAAGAAAAAATCCCCAATCTAATTGATAGTCAAATAAATAGAATGATAATAATGAGGTTTTTGGATCTGATCAATTTTAAAAGTATCTAGTGTTTGCCCTATGTGAAGGAATTGGAAGTTTCATATGCTGTTAATGGAAAAGCCAATCAGAATAATCTTTCTAAAAGGCAGTTTGTTATCATTTATATTTCTTTCAAAATAAAACATTGCATATCTTTAATCTAGAAAATATGCTTTGGAGATTATAAAAAGATATGTCAAAGAATATGTGTTGTAACATTATAATAAGAGAAAGAGTAAGGAGATTGACAAAATAAGTTATAATATATCCATCTATACAAGTAAAAGACTAAAAGGCCTCTAAAAAAAAAAAAGGAATATTCTATACACACTAACATGAAAAAATGTCTATAACATATTTTTAAGTGAATATGTATGTATAATATGGTCCTATTTTTATGAATTTCTATATATAACATCTGCTTATGTATGCTGAAGGAAAGACCTGGAGAGATATCTACCATACTATTAACAGTGGTTAGTTCAACATGTAGGAAAGGGAAGGTTGGGAGGGAAGCAGGAGATGACAAGAGACATTTCTTTTTATACTCCTACGCATGTTTTTAATTTATACCAAGAATTGTAGATGTATTACTTTTTTAGAAATTTATTTTTGTTTTTATTTAAACATTTTTTATATGGTCAACTACACATATCATAAAATTTACCATCTCATGTGTATAATTCAGTGGTTTTAAAAAATTACTTTCAATGCTTTTTTAGTCTCTTAAGTATGTAGGAAGGATATATGGAGTTACAAACAAGAGCTACAACAATACTAGCTTTTAGATTAATTTTTAAAATGTATTAGTTTCTTTTTTTTTTTTTTTTGGCCAGGGCTAAGTTTGAACCCACCATCTCTGGCATATGGGGCTGGCGCCCTACCCTTTTGAGCCATAGGTGCCACCCTGCAAAACTGTATTAGTTTCTTAAATCATGTAGAAAACAAATTTACAAACTTTTGTTACAATAATACAATAACTTTATAATTGCCCATATATTTACATTTATCAAGATCTGTATTTTTTCATACATCTTCAAGTTATTGTCTGATATCCTTTCATTTCACCCTGCAGGACTCCCATGAGCATTTCATGCAGGGCAGGTCTAGTGATAACTAACTTCTTCAGCTTTTGTTTACCTGTGAATTTCTCCCTCATTTTTGAACAATGTGGATATGGCTATGGTTACAGTATTCTTGGTTGACAGGTTTTTTTTTTTTTCCTTTTAGTACTTTGAATATATTGGTCTACTGCCTTCTGGCCTCTAAAATTTCTGATGAGAAATTTGCTGATAATTTTAATGAGCATCTTTGTATGAAATGAGATATTTCTCTTTCTACTTTCAAATTTCTCTCTTTCTCTGGTCTTTCAAATATTTAATTATAATGTATCTCTGAATTCATCTTACTTGTAATTTGTTAAGCTCCTTGGATATTTATACTCATGTCTTTCATCAAATTTAGGGAGTTTTCAGCCATACTGAAAACTTTCTCAAATATAATCATGCATCACTTAATGATGGAATACATTCTGGGAAATGCTTTAGTAGGCAAGTTTGTTGTGTGAATATCATGGAGTATACTTATGCAAACCTAGAAGTATAGAGCTTATTGCTCCTAGGGTAAAACCTATTGCTATACTGAATACTCTGGATAATTATAACACAATGGTAAGTATTTGTTTATCTAAATGTAGAAAAGGTACAGTAAAAATACAGTATAAAAGATTAAGAAAAGAGATACCTATTTAGGGCACTTATCATCAATGGAGCTTGCAGCACTGGAAGTTGCTCTAGCTTAGTCAGACAGTGATTGGTGAGTGGATATGAAGGCCTACAACATTACCCTACATTACGATAGACTTTATAAACACTGTAAAATTGGGCAACGATAATTTATTTTAAAAAATTTTCTTTAATAATAAATTAACCTTACTATAAGTTTTTACTTTTTACTTTATGAACTTCTAAATTTTTTAAAACTTTTTGACTCTTTTATAATAACATGTAGGTTAAAACACAACATGTTGGGGTGGCACCTGTGGCTCATAGAGTAGGGCGCTGACCCCATATACTGGAGGTGGTGGGTTCAAAACTGCAAAAAAAAGAAAAGAAAAACATATTGTCCCGTTTTACAAAATATTTTCTTTCCTTATATTCCTATTCTATAAGCTTTTTTATTTTCAAATTTATTTTTAGTTTTTAAACTTTTTTGCTGAAAACTAAGACACAAGTATACACATTAGCCTAGGCCTACACAGAGTCAAGATCATCAAGATTGCTATCATTCACCTCTACATCTTATCCTTCCAGAAGATCTTCCTGGATAGTAGAACACATAGAGCTATCATCTCCTATGATAACAATGCCATCTTCTCAAATCCCTCCTGAAGGACTTGTCTGAGGCTTTTTTGCAGTTAACATTTTTTAATAAGTAGGAGTATACTCTAAAATAATGATAAAAAGTATGTATAATAAATACATAAACAAGTAACATCGTCCTTCATAATCATTATCAATTGTGTACTGTATAGCTGGGTGTTGTGGCGGGCGCCTGTAGTCCGAGCTACTCAGGAGGCTGAGGCAAGAGAGTCACTTAAGCCCAGGAGTTGGAGGTTGCTGTGAGCTATGTGACTCCACAGCACTCTACCAAGGGCAACAAAGTGAGACTCTATCTCTACAAAAAAAAAAAAAAAAAAAAAAAATCAGAACAATTGTGTACTGTATATAATTGTATATGCCATAATTTTTGCATGACTAACAGCTCAGTAAGCTTGTTTACACTAGCATCACCACAAACATGGGAATGATATATTGCACTGCAATGTTACAACATCACTTAGGTGACAGGAATTTTTCAGCTCCATCACAATCTTGTGAGACCACTATTGGATACATGGTCCATCACTGACTAAGACATCTTTATGCGGCACATGACCTTATTCTCACTTCCTTTCTCCTTCTTGTCTCCTTCTGAGACTGTCACAGTGCATATGTTGTTCTGCTTGGTGGTGTCTTACAGATGCCTTAGGCTCTGTTCAGTTTTCTCTAGTGTTTTTTATTGCTGTTTCTCAAATTCAATAATTTCCATTTTCCTAACTTCAAGTTTGCTGATTTTTTTCCTCTTTTGCCTGATCTTTGAATCCTTACGGATTTAAAAAATTTCTCTTAATTTCAGTTTTCAGCTCCAGAATTTCTGTTTATTTTTTAGGTTTTCTATCTGTTGGTTATTATTTCCATTTTGTTCACACATCATTTTCTTGACTTTTTTCACATCTTCCTTGAGTTCTTTGAATATTTTTAAGGCAGTGGTTTTAAAGTCTTCATCTAGTGTACTAGGTTTCTTCAGCTGTACTAAAGAAGATGGTATATGAAGCATATGTATTTTCCTCGAAAAGAGAGTAGGTCACTGCAACCCCCCTTTTAGAAATGTTTCATAAAAAGTTACCAAGAAGGATTGGCATTTAGGTATGCTGTGAGTTCCCAGGAGCAATAAGATAAAAAGGAAGAGGAAGTGATAATACCTCTTGTTGTCAGTTTTTTCTCTGATAGAACTCTTTATCAGTGAATGTGTTCTCTGAGAATTATCATGAAACCTTTGCCCCAAAGTTTTTTTTGATATCATTTGATGTAGTATACGTGGAAATATGCCATAGGAACGGGTCTAGGTTTTGATCAACTTTAGCAGTTTATTTTAGAGGTGAGGATAGCCTGAGAGCCCAGTTCAAGGGATTTACCCAAAGTCAAACTGCAAGTTAATAGGGCATTTCTATTGTATGTCAAGCATTCTTACAATAAGGAGTCTCAGCTAACCTGGAGGAGGGTGGGAATGGATTACAAAATAGTGGTGCCCTTTTCTCAGTGAAAAGGACTTTGATCCATCTTTTGAGTCAAGGAAAGATTTTGACTTTAGAATATCTCTCTTCCCCCATCCATCCATCCATCCATCCATCCATCTTTCCTTCCTTCCTTCCTTCCTTCCCTCCCTCTTCCCCTTCCTCCACTTCCTCCTTCTCTCTCTCTCTCTCCTATCTCTTTCTCATTCTTTGAGACAGAGTCTTACTTTCTCTCCCAGACTACAGTGCCATGGGGTCATAGCTCACAGCAACCTCAAACTTTTGGGCTCAAATGATCCTCTTGCCTCAGTCTTTCACCACAACACCCAGCTAATTTTTAGAGATGGTGTCTTACTCTTGCTTAGGCTGGTCTTAAACTTCTGAGCTCAAGCAAGCTGCCTCCTCAGGCTCCCAGAGTGCTAGGATTCCAGGTATCAGCCACCACGCCCAGCCTGTTCCCCATTCTTTTTACTGTCATTTTTTTTTCCCTAATCTGTCTTCTAAGGGGGGAAAAATGGAGAGAAGACTTTAAATAAAGAGCAGAGAAAACTGAAGAACAATTATAATTTTTGACTTGTTTATTTTTCCCTATTACAGCTTTTCTGCATAATAAAACTAATTTTATATAATAAGGCATTCATATATTTGGCACATTAATCATAGTGTTTGGTCACTTTATTTCCAATAAATTCCATATAATAAATAATTCTATTATAAAATAATTCTCTATGATGGTCTGTGAAATTTGTCAGAAATAAAAAGGAGAGCTTCATTGACCAAGCAGCAAATACCTTATACATACTAGCTTTACATGAATGATCCTTAGTCATTATACCTCAGTCATCTTAACCCTTAGCAGAAACCAGGGATAGAAAGTTGTAGCAGGGTATAGAGGGATCACATTAACTAGACCCCAGCAAATGAGTGAGGGGGTCAGTCTTCCAGGCAATACACCTAGGACAAATTTAGTAGTGTAATTTATTGTTGAGAGAATATCTTGTTATAGATGGTACTACAACCATATGGACTAATTTATTAAAATGCCCGAATGCAATATACAAAAAGATTTTTGGGAGGGTATCTATAAATAAAAAGTGTGGTACAAGCTGAATTTCCTGATAAAGCAGAGCAAAAAGGAGTCATGGAAATAGAATTCCACTGGTGTTTGCTAGCATTGAAGAGGAAGGGGAAAACCTGGTTTCTGACCTAAAATTCTTAGGGAAATGAATCTTTGCATCCAGCGCTGATGTGTCAATTTCTTCATGGAGCCAGAATGAAACATGGAAGTTTCATGTATACCTTGGAACCATTCAATGTATACCTTCATACCAACTCATCAAATAATCTTTGCACCTGAAACTTGGTTTCCTATTCATAAATGAGCTTCACTAAAAAAGGAGGGTCCTATTTAGACAAGAGGTCTGAGTTCTCAAAAAAAAAAAAAAAAATTAGCATCATCTTCTTTTTTGATATAAAAATCAAGAAATAAACATATCAGAAATATGGAGGTAAAAAGGAGGAAAAGCAGCATAAATAAAATGCTGCCCACCTCTCCCTCAACTCCAGCATGCACGTGTGTACACACACATACACTTCCAGAGCTTCAGGGTGAGGCTCACACAGAAGAACAATGAGGTTGCAGACAGACCTGTGGGCCTCAGCCTTTTAGGATGACCACAAGGTCATCTGCATTGAGACTGAGGGCAGGACCAGGCTCTGCTTTGGTAGTGAGGGGTCAGTGAACATCAGCAATAGTTTCTATCTAGCTCAGGGAGTTACTTTGTAGCATCAACAGTTACTTCTATGATCCATAAACATGATGTGAAATCCATAAATAAATAGGGAATGAGAGGCATTTTTTTTACTATATTTATATCCATGTATATAGAAAATATTTTTTTTAAATAGGCCTTTGTTTTTCATGGTATTTATTTATTTATTTATTATTTTTTATTATTTGCAGTTTTTAGCCAGGGCTGGGTTTGAACTCACCACCTCTGGCATATGGGGCCGGTACCCTACTCCTTTGAGCCACAGGCACCGCCCTAGAAAATATTTTTGAATAAGTGTTTTCCAGAGTTGCTTTTTAAAGAAAGTTACTGTTACCTTTAATGTAATTTAACACAAATAGCATCTGCCTTACTTGTTTCTTATTTGTCTCCAGGAATTACCTCCTTATAATGGATACGGATTCGTTGAAGATTCTGCTCAGAATTGCTTTGTTCTCATTCCAAAAGCTCCAAAAAAAGATGTTATTAAAATGCTGTTGAATGATAACAAGGTGCTTCGTTATTTGGCTGCACTGGTGAGGCTAATTTTTATGTATTAAGATTTTTTTTCTGTCTCAGTATTATGTCCATTTTGTCTGTAAGCTTAGAATAACAGCTGTCAGAGTGTGATTAACCAGGTAACCATTGGCTCTAGTACCCAGCCTTCAGGCAGGTTGGATAGTATTAAAGTATGGTGCCCCTGAACCAAGCCCTAACTCAAGGCCTTTCTCCCCCAAGTTCTTTCTTGGATCATTAATATCTCACTTCTATTCCTTAAATGTCAATAGACCTTCTTGCCTCTTTTATTAAGCAGTTATGAAATTATGAGTTATATTGAAACCACTTGTATATCTGTATGCCTTTTGAGTATAATGTGATTTCCTTGAGTGTAAGGACCATATCTTACTAAATTTTAGAATTACCTGTGATATCTAGCTGAAAAATATTACATTCACTAAATAGAATAAATGGAATCATACCAGTTTAATAGTTACTGCCCTCGAAAAGTTATATGAGAGCATGGCTCAAATCCTGCATTAACTTCAGACAAACTTCCTGAATTACTTCAGACAAATTACTGATAGGAATTCAAAGGATAATATCTTAAAAATGGAAAAAACTATACAAATGGGAACATAGGCATTTTATGTAGAAATATTGACATGAAGTCACAGCAGTTAAAATAAGGTATTTCTGGGAATAGGAATTAGGAGTGGGGAGTGGTGGGTCATTTGATGTTTCAAACTATATACAAGTATTTGAAAAGATAAAAATTAAATGAAAACATGTGTGATTAGTAATTGTTCACTATAGTAAACAATACCTTAAATGAAAAGAGAATTCTAACAAATTCCACTAGTACTAAGTAGTACTACTAAACTAGTAGTACTAAGTTCTTTGAGTTACTATTAAAATTCAAGAGCCTTGTTGAATTACAATATGGTAACAATAAACTCATTAGGGGGCAGGAATCATGTCTTTCTAAACTTTGTAGGTAATCAATAACTTTGTTGCATGGACAAATGAATTTATTTATATATATATAAATATATATATGTACATCGTTCATGAATAAGTCAATACAATATTTTACCCATTAAAATGGGTAAAACTTGCTCCAAAACTTCCAGCAGAGGTTATGTTTCAGAACATAAGAATCGAAGAGTCTAATTGACTTATCCCTGGTCCTAATGCTTCTTAGGCCAAGACAGGACTAAAACTCATCTTTGTGACTTTCAACTTGTATTCTTTTGATTGAGCACCAGTATAATAATAATAAAAAGAATCATTATAATGCTTAGGATAAGAAAGGAGAAAAAGGCTTGTATGTTATAAACTACATAATTATAAGCTTACCTTCCATACCTAAAAATCCTGGAAAAATTATTATGTAATTATTACCAAAATGTCTATGAATAATGTTAGATGTAGCTAAATGAGGAGAAAGGATACATTTCTATTAACTTAGAAGTTAATAGAAATCTATAGTAATCTTCTATACTCACATAAGAAAACCTGGCCAAATGTGAGATATCACCACATGTTGAAGAGGACTTCTATTTGTAGCAGTGATAGACTAGATAATGGATTAGCCTTCTTGCTGAAAAGGGTGTGTGTGTGTGTGTCTGTGTGTCTGTGTGTCTGTGTACATACTTGAACATGCTAATCAACTAGCAAGATATGTAGAATCACTGAACTGAACTGGGGGAATAATAAGAATCAAAGAAGTGAGCCTGACGTTTGGGGCTGTTTCCCCCTAGACACATTTGCTGATTCCAGAAGAAGCTTCTATTAGGACAAACATTGGAATCTAGGGCCCATCAAAGGCAGAAGCACGTGGTGGTAAACCCTCTGTGCTTTAGTCTATAAGTGGCCAATTCTCTCTCTCTCTCTCTCTCTCTCTCTCTCTCTCCTTTCTCAATACATTTAGTGGTTTTTGGTTACATGAATGAATTGTATAGTGGGGATATCTGGGTTCTTAGTGTACCTGTCACCCAAGTAATGTACATTGTATCCAATAAAGAGTTTTTCTCCCCTCACCTCCCTCCCATCCACCCCTCTTCTTAGTCTCCAATGTCTGCTGTACCACATTTACATAGTGGCTAATTTTTGAAGGGACTATTTTCTGCCTTTCAATTATGGCAGCCACTGAATTATCTCAGTTACATAAATCAGATTAAGGAGATTCTGGATTCTAATGCCAGAAGTAACTGGCAGAAACAAATATAAATTTCCTGACGATAGCATCATCTTAGATATAATTTCCAGAAACAAAGCAAAATAACATAAAGAAAAATGACTAAAATAACAGTCAATAGAAATATATCCATAGAGACTTCAAATACCATCATTATATAATTCAAACTTGAAAAAAAAAAACTATGAGAATTCCAGCAGAGAATGAGAAGCCAAATAAGCCTATTTTTAGTTTTTAAAAGTCATCACATGAGTAGAATAAGAGAAGAAAATTGGATTTTGAAAAGCACTTACTAAAATGAATCCATTATGGTTTTAAAACAAAACTCTTAATAGAAAGAGAATTAAAGGTAGTTTCCTTAATCTGATAAAGAGTACCATATTTTTCCATGTATAATGCTCATTTTCTGCCCAAATTTTTGAGTGAAAAATAAGGATGTGCATTGTATATGAGTAGTAATAATTTCATGTTTATACAAATGTTTTTAATTCTTTCATTTTTGCTTATGTATTAAATGTATAAATCTAGAAAGCAAAAATAACATCCACATGCAAAATAATACCCTGAAAATAACACCCTGGTATACTGTCAATGGTTTTGTTGAACTTATGAAGAACTTGCAATGAAAGTATTTTTGGCCAACGAAGAGTGATGTATTTATCTTCATATACTACATGGGAGCTAACAATCTAGCCAATATTTTTGTAAAAGTTATTGGAAAATATTGAAACGATCGATTTTTGTACACTGCAGTCTTTAAGCTAACAGTTATGAAATATGCTAAAGAGCAGGACAACAGCTGCTGAAAGACCCTTTGAACCTCCTCCCACGGAGAATGTCATCTGATTTGGAGGCCCCAGGAAGAAACTCTTCTTTAGATGCCAAAACAGAAGGCAATGTGAGGGAAACCTCCAAAGTGGACAGAGGTGGAGAAGGAGGTGAAGACACAGATTCTGGAGCAGGGTCAAACTGGGATCTCTATTTTGACCAAGGTGATACAAGAAGAGGGCAGAAGGACTGCACAAGAAAAAAGACTTTGATGGTTTCTCAGGGACACTTAAATGGTGCTTTAACTTTATAAGGAGAGGGGTTTGAGCATGAGGTCATGAAAAAAACTTTCTCCAAAACTTCCAGCAGCCTAAGAGAATCAAGTTCGGAATTTCATTCTCACGTTACCAGTCTTCAAAAGACTTATAATTTTGAGCTGTCCTAAATCGCCAACATGGATGAGGTCTCACTAACATTTGATGTACCATCCAACAGAAGGAGCAAAGCCCACGGCCCTTAAACTCATGAGCAAGACAAAACACACTGCACTGTTGTTCTGGCCTGTTGTGCAGACAGGACAAAGCAACCACCTATGATCATCTTTAAAAGAAAAACATTTCTGAAAGAAAAGATTCCAAGTGGAGTTATTGTGCACATGCCTGAAAAAGGATGGATGAATAAAGAAGGCAGTTCTGATATTGACAGTGATGAAGAGCCTTTGGCCTTCATGATTCATGTATATATGTATACTGGTAAATTTGTTACCAGTATATTTTCTTGTACCTTGTATTTGTTCTTGTGTTTTGTAATAATTTGTTACATAAAATTTCTTGTACCATAATATGTTAAAAAATAAATAAATGCTAAAACTCCTTTATAATACAAAGCTAAGTGCCTAAATATACATTTTTTTAAATTGAATTAAAAGGCTTGGTGCCTGTGGCTCAAGCGGCTAAGGCACCAGCCACATACACCTGAGCTGGTGGGTTCGAATCCAGCCTGGGCCCACCAACCAACAATGACGGCTGCAACCAAAAAATAGCTGGGTGTTGTGGTGGGTGCCTGTGGTCCCAGCTACTTAGGAGGCTGAGGCAGGAGACTCACTTGAGCCCAGGAGTTGAAGGTTGCTGTGAGCTGTGATGCCACAGCACTCTACCTAGGGGGACAGCTTGAGGCTCTGTCTCAAAAAAAAAAAAAAATAGAATTAAAAAAGGAAAATGAAAGATTTTTTTTTTCAAAGTTTGGGCCAAAAGCATTAGTGTTCATTTTACATGGGAATACATCATACCTAGCAAAATATGGCATTTACCATAGATCTACTACAAACAGGATCCTTAGTGGTGAAATGTTAAAAGTGTACTTTCTGAGATTAGGAACAGGAAGGACTGCTTTCACCTCTCCTGATCAATATAATTCTGGAGGTCCTCTCCAGAGCAATAAAATAGGAAGGGAAATTTTAAAAGTATAAGGATTGAAGAGGGAGAAATAAAACCAACATTCACCAGAACAAATGAACATTAATATACATACAGAAAATAATCTACTTTATACATTAGTAAATATACAAATTGCTAAAAAAAAAAAACCCATAAAATTAAAAAATATAATTTACCATAGCATCAAAAATATTGAATTCTTAGAAATAAGAGGGTGGGTGGGGGGAGGGTGATTGGCGGGATCATGCCTGTGGCTCATCCTATAAGGGTACATGTGAATCTCTCTAAATGTACAATATAAATGTCTTAACACAATAACTAAGAAAAAGACATGAAGGCTATGTTAACCAGTTGGATGAAAGTATTTCAAATTGTATACAGAAACAGTACACTGTACCCCATGATAGTATTAATGTACACTGCTATGATTTAATAAAAATTTTTTTAAAAATAAGGTATATAATACCTAAAACATTACTGACAGAAAATTAAAGAAGACCTAAATAAATAAAGGGACATATCACTCTCATTAGTTTAAAAATTCAATATTATAAAAATGTTTGCCTCAGGCCAGAGATGGTGGCTCACAAGTATAATCCCAGTACCCTTGGGAGGCCGAGGTGGGTGGATTGCCCTAGCTCAGGAGTTGGAGACCAGCCTGAGCAATAGCAAGGCCCCACCTTCAAAAATAGCTAAGTGTTGTGGCAGGCACTGTAGTCCCAGCTACTTGAGAGGCTGAGGCAAGAGGATGGCTTGAAGCCAAGAGTTTGAGGTTATTGTGAGCTATGATGCCACGACACTCTACCTAAGGTGACAAAACGAATTCTGTCTCAAAAAACAGACAAAAAAATTAGCCCAAAATGTGTTTATTTTTGCTAATCTTCACAAACTAATTATACAATTTACATGGAGATGCAAAGCAACCAAGGACAGTTAAGATACTTTTGGAGATGAACAAGATCAGATGTGCTCAACAAAATATCACAATATATCATTAAGTTATAGTAATTTAAATAATACTGTATTGGTGCAAGGATAGACAATTAGACCAATGCAATGGAACAGGCAACCCAGAAACAGACCTACTTAACACTTAAGATACACGACAAATTGCAGCACTGCAGGAAAGGGAGTATAGGAAAGGGAGGTTTCCTATAAATTATAGCAGAACAATTTCATACCCATATAGGAAAAAAGAACATTTGACCTCTACTTCAGACTAAAGTGGAAATCAGTTCTGGGTAGGTTAAAAATTTAAATGTGAAAGGCGAAATAATAAAACTTCTTAATATAATCTTAACCTTGCAGTAGGGAAAGATTTATTTAGTTGGACACAAAATAATGGGGAAATGACAGGCCAGAGGCCAATCAGACTCTATAACCAGTGATTTAACAAGGCCAGGGGGCTGAGGTCGTGGGAATAGTCCAGGTAATAAGGTGGTGTAGGTAACAAGCTTATAGAGAATTTAAAGATAAAACCAACTAAAAGTTGGTCTACTTATTAACATCATGTGCCTGCAATTCTAAACAATATCAGTGATAAATGGCCACAAAGATACAACTGCTTCATACCATAGAATTTCAGTTAATGTAGGAAAAAAGTGAGAAGTAGAAAAATTACCATCAGGCACACACGGCAGCAATAGTCATTGGAGAAAAGAGCCATCAATGGATGCTAAAATCAGTGGGAAAATTGAGGAGAAATTGGGTTTTCATAATCTCAAAATACCTCCCCCAAATATTTATTAATTGCAGAAAGAAAGATGGTAACTTTAAGGGACTTTCTTAATTAAGTGATCAAGGTCAACATCATCAGTAATAATGACATGTTGGTATCATTAACTCCTCAATATGCACTAAGGATGCATTATCTTTTCTGGGGTGTTTTCAACAAAAATCCAAAACGAAATGCACGAGGAACAGTCAACAAAATAATTGATCAACAGTCTTCAAAAATTCAAGGTCATTAGACACAAGGGCAGGACCTATCTATCTATCACAGATTAGAGGATACTAAAGAGAAATAACAACTAAATGCAACACGGGTCCCAGATAGGATCCTGAAATAGAAAAAAGAACATTTGTAAAAAGCAGATGAAATTTGAATGAGGACTGTAGTTTATTTAATAGTATTTGTAGTTTATTTAATAGTATTTGACTGCTGTTATTTTCCTGGTTTTGATAATTGCATTATGGTTATGTAAGATATTAACATTAGGGGAAACTTAGTAGGGAGTCTGTGAGAATTTTCTGTACTATTTGTGCAACTTTTCTGTAAATGTAAAGTTAGTTCAAAATAAAAACTTTTAAAACAATTTTTTTTAACTTTTAAAATGTTCCTTCCTGCCATGACGAACTGTTAACATTGTGCTCCCAATCGGTTTGGTTTACCCCTGCTTAGAACTTTGCATTTTCTAAGTGTGATGGGAATCTTTTGGACAGTTGAGAGAAGAGGAGTGATATGATTTGATTTTATTAACCATACTGTGGGTGTTTGTTTGAAATTTATATTTTTATTTCATGGGTGTCCAATCAAACAGGTTTGGCAACTCTGAGAAGAGAGAATGCTATGAGAGAATTACTTTACTCAGAGAAAACCTAATGACTTTCTTCAATAGTTAAGAAATTATTACACATTTAATTGCATGGTCTGCATGAGAAGATAAAAGCTGAAGTTGCAATATAGATTTTAGTCAGGAATCAGCATGTCTATATTAAGGCTTAGAATGGTATCATCATCACTGTGTGACTTGATTTAGAGAAAGTCTGGTTTACAAGATAGTTTCTCAAAATCACTTTCAATTATGTGATTTTATATTACTTATTCCTTCCTTCTTAAATTTTATTTTTAATATTATATACAAAAAATATTCATTTAAAAAACTAAACCTTATGTAATCATCATAGTTGTTCAAAAGTTGTTAACCTAATGTCAGCTAAGAGCTCTCAAACTTGCAACCTGTGGTAAGAATATCTGTAGCCCACATATGTACCCTAAACTGTGTGTTTTTGAAAGAGTTGGTGCTTTTGAAAGAGTTGGAGTCAACACTTTAAAATTGGGGGCTTTATATAATAATCTAGATTTTTATTGTCTTTTAAAAAACTGAAAGACTGGCTCAGCACCTGTGGCTCAAGCAGCTAAGGCACCAGCCACATACACCTAAGGTGGGGGGTTCAAATCCCTAGCCCGGGCCCACCAAACAACAATGATGGCTGCAACCAAAAAATGGCCAGGCGTTGTGGCAGGCTCCTGTAGTCCCAGCTACTTGGGAGGCTGAGGCAGGAGACTCGCTTGAGCCCA